TACCTGTATCATGTGTTGTCTATAAGAAAAAGAACATTAATAGAAAAAAAAACCCCCTAAATTATAATATGAACAATTGCTAGAAGCTAATGCATTTACCTTTTTACAGAATGTTTCTTTATTTTTTATTCAGTCCATAAGATAAAACAAGTGCTAATTACTTATTATCTGTTTGGTATTATGGTAGTATTTTTTTAGTAGAAAAGGAGAATCCTCTATCGTTTATTCGAAGTCTGAAACGTCCCAGAAATGAAACTTTCGTATTTATTATATGTACTTATTAGCAATTTATATGCAAAAAGTAAAGAGAAACAGTTTTTTGTTGATAAGGAAACGTGCCCGTACTAAGTGGTCTGTGAGGGGTGAGGTGATCTTCAAAAATGTTAGGCTTGGTCACAGGGGGGGGGTTAGGTTTTCGTCACGTAGTCAATATTCTCTAGGGAAATGAATGAATGAATGTTTTAAAACCATATTTATGAATTACTATTTCGGACGAAGGTGTTTTAATTTTTATTGTCATTACAGAATGGTCTGTAAACGTAAAGTAATTTGCGACGATATAGTGTTTTCTAAATATTACAGAAAAAATAAAAGAATGTTAAGTATTGCGTTAAATAAAAAACGAGCCCGTCTCTGTAACACGTATGAGTGATTAGTATGAGTTAACTAAATGATAGTTAGGTAAGCACATCCGATAACAGATAAAAAAGTTATAAACCAAACATAAAAACGAAAATTTGAGATATTTTTCAATTTGCAGCACGAAATATCAAGATAATTTATATATATGTACATAGACTGAACACTATCTATTAATAAAATAAATACACATTTTAATTCTATATAAACTGATTTACATTAGTATTCTTATTTAGATAAACCAATCTTAAGAAATATATACACAACTTATGTATTTATTCCCCAAATAATTTTATCTTTCTAGTGATATAGATAGTACATATTCTTATAAGGTCAAGTACCACATAATTTACTTTGGTGGGCTTACTTAACTTACGTACCTATATCTTTCTTATTTTGATTCTGTTTTGCCATAATAAGGCCCAATAAATCCCAGATTAATAGTTAGTATAAGACTTTCTTAATCAAACCGTTATTGTTTATTTAATATCAAATTCAATCAAATCAAAATCAATTCTTGTTATAGGCAGTAAAACTGTAATGAGAGAGAGGGGGGGTAGATATAACTTCTGAAAAATTCTGTTTACGTAATACTTGAACGCTGTCTAATCGAATTTATAAAGTTATTAAGTTTCCGTTCCTTCTTTCTCTCAAGATACTAACATAATAAAATTAGGGGTAAAAATACTTTATTATGACAATCAGTACCTAACGTTTCTTATTTATCGTATAACTTTTCTTTAGGATATTANCTTAATATATATATTATAATATAACAAGAATACTGTTTAATGAAGGAAATGAAAGATTATCAGTAACTCGATATCAGTTTATATTAGGGCAGGGTATAGAAAAAACGTACATTTTGGAAAATAATCATTATGGTGCGTGTTTTAGTCATGAAGGCGTGAGCCGTGTGGCCAGTCGTCATGCACTTTTTTTTAATAACACGGAGAAAATGAAAAAGGAAAATTTATCTAAAAATTAAAGCCATATTTACAATTTATCCCATCATCCCTTTGCTTCGTAAGCGAAGATAATAAAAATTACAATTGGACCCGAATTTGTAAAAAATAAATCCCATCAGATATAAATTTACTAGGTATTTTAGTTGATATTACAAATTTAATTGTAATAATTAATAAACTTGAAATAATTTAAAAAAAAAATGTTACCTGATAAATTCTACTATTTCTACGGCAAATTCAGTCATTTACAATCGAAAATTGTAATTTTTGCATTTTCGTAAAAATTTAGTTTTTTCGAATTTTTATTGCATATATGTACGTGGATTATTAAAAAATCAAAATTAGAAGAAAAGAGTTGCAAAATTGAATAATATTTTAATAACAAAAGCAAAGATATTTTAACAGTACGTTATCCTGCAACTTCTGCTAAATTTTTATGGAACGATGTTCCAAGGCGTAAATGTTCCTGGTTCAGCTTCTTTTAACTAAAATAAATATTGTTGGTATAAATAATTCAACTGAATTGAAATGTAATTTACCCTGGCCGTTATATGGTCCTGACATGCTACACGAATCCTTGCAGAAGTACATGGAGAATCTAGTTTAAATGAGGAAGACAAACCAGCGTCCTTTCTAGCGTATCCAATGGCATCTTTGATAGCAAAGAAAGCAGAGCTAGCCAAGAACAGAGGGGGCTCTCCAACAGCCTTTCGTAGAAAAATAGATAGATAAGGCGATTTTTTTAATTAAGCTGCTTAATTGTTCTTTTTAATAATACATTATTCTATACACTGAGAGTAGAAGTACTTTCGATTGACTAAGAATACCAAATAATCTTGAGTAGTAGGGTGAAGATGTTAAAGTATTTTAACTAATTATTATTCCACTACTTCGAAGGGATATGATTAATTTTTATAATATAAAATCATTTTTTTCAGATTATTTTTTTATTCCCTATTATTAATTTGTTTGCTTGTTGAAGAAAAACTTTTTGTTTGAGTTTTTGCGTTCTCCTTGTTTTTTCTTTTTTTTTAAATACCAAAATGATTAATCTACAGAATTTACAATACTTTTGTAATACCTTTGATGAATAAACTGCCCTCGGATTAGAAACGCCTTTCAATAGAGAAACGTTGAATTCTATCGGTATATCAGCAAATCCGGGTAGTTTGTATGCACCAGGTCCTTTCGTAAAAATAGTACCATCTGGCGAATAAACCATTTCTTCAAGTACAAACAGACCATAACCTTGCATAAAAGCTCCTTCGATTTGACCAATATCAATAGCAGGATTCAAACTTTCACCTATAAATTTCATTGAAGGGAATGAGACAATATTGTTCCATTATGGAACCAATTTACCTAAATCCATTACAATATCAGTTCTTAACACTTGATGGTCTCCTGTTAAACAGTCTATTTCAACTTCAGTACAACCAACCCCGTAAGTAAAATAATTGAAGGGATTTCCAGAATTAGTTTCCCAATTATAACCAATATTTGGAGTTTTATAAAAACCTGTCGACGAAAGACTGACTCGATCAAAATAGGCCGCTTCAACCCAATCCTCCCATTTTCCCTCTGGGTTTTTCATGATATAGGGCCCAAGACGATCACGAATTACTTGACAAGCATTCTGATTATAAAACACAAGAAACATAAAATTGTATTTTTTTTCTCAATGGGACTCTTGGGATTTTTACCATTACTGCCATTCCATTTAAGTCAGATCCAGAACTAGCTGCCGTAGCAGATGTATTAGGTACTTTATCAGTTGAAGTTTCACTGATGTAAATTTTGGATGTGGGTATTTGAAGAACCCTACTAGCTACCTGTATCATTTTAGTATGTAAACCTTGACCCATTTCCGTTCCACCATGGGTTAATAAAACAGACCCATCGGTATACACGTGAACCAAAGCACCAGCTTGGTTCATGAACAAGGCAGTGAAAGCAATACCAAATTTAGTAGGAATAATTGATATTCCTCTTTTTTTCCATCTATGTTCTCTAGAAAAGTTTGTTCTTTAAATAGAAATAGACCAAAATTTTGTGAGACAGAAATCTAAAACTCGTGGTTCAAAGGAGCTAAAGCTGATATGAGAATGCTGAACTCCTAAAAAAATCATCCTAAAATTTGAATCCTTTTTACAACTCAAAAGTAATCAGTTTGCTTTAGAATTAATTTTTTTTATCTCTTGTCAGCCCAGCATGTTCTCGAAAAATGTTTTAATTTTAAAATTATAAAGATAGGAGACGAAAAATTAGAAGAAGTGGCTGAATTTAGATACCTAGGAAGTCAGATAAGAGTAGTAGGGATATAAAGCAGAGGATAGCGCAGGGTCGTGTCGCCTTTAATAAAAAGAAGTCACTTCTATGCTCGCGAAAGGTTGTTAAAGGTATATGTTTGGAGCACGGCGTTGTACGAGTGCAAAACATGGACAGTGGGCGCGACGGAAAAGAGAAGTTTAGAAGCGTTCGAAATGTGGTGTTATAGGCGGATGATGAGGATAACGTAGGTAGAAAAGGTTAGAAATGAAGAGGTATTGGAAAGAATAGGAGAACAGAGGACTCTATGGAAGTCAATAAAAAATAGGCGAGATAGGTTGGTAGGACACCTTCT